AAATTGCATTAATTTTGGTCAATTTTGGCTCTTAGCACAGTAGCAGCTACCCACCCCTACCCCCAGCCAGGAGGCAGGAGGCCAGGAGGCAATACATCCATTTCTGGAGCAGCCTGAACACAGCTGGTGGGAGCCAGGGTGGCAAAAAAGAGCCTGTTCTCCAAATGCTGGGGATCTGTGCTCTGATCACTGACTGCTGCTTCTAGTAACAAAGAAACAAGGAGGCAGGAGCACCTCCCCTGCTGTTGCAAGCCCCTCCCCCCAGCTGGTGTCCTCCAGGTGACCACCCTTTTATTTTCCACCTTTTCTCACTTTTGGGAACCAAACATTAAAGACAAGGGCATTAAAAAAAGAAAACTGCATATACAGGGAAAATTACAAAGCGACAACACATGCTGAGGGAAAACCTCAGAAATGAAAACCTTATGTCTACACCTCAGGCTGCTCCTCAGACAGAGACAGCCGACAGCTATCCACAACAGCAATGACAACACAAAACAGGAAACCTCAGAGAAGGAGGTCGCCTGGTGCCCAGAGTTACCGTGCTACCAGACCCAAATGTTCATGTTCAGTAGCGACAACAAAATCACAAGGCACACAAATAAACAGGAAAGAATGGACTATGCAAAGGAAAAACAAATCACAGAAACCATTCTTGAAAAAGATCTAATGGCAAGTACACTGGAGACAAAGACTTTAAAATGACTGCTTCAAAGATGTTCAAAGAACTAAAGGAAGATGTGGAGAAAATCAAGAAAAGGATGTGTGAACAAAACAGAAAAACCAATAAAGAGACGAAACCCCCAAAAAGAAACCAAAAAGAAATTCTGGAGCTGAAAGGCATAATAAATGAAATTTAAAATCCACTAGAAGAATTCAAAGGCAGATTTTCAGCAGGTAGGAGAATCAGTGAATTTAAGATAAGACAATGGAATTTATAGAGTTTGAAGACCAGAAAGGAAAAAGATTGAAGAAAAATGAACAGAGCCTAAGGGCCTTGTGGGACACCGCCAAGTGAACCAACATACACATTGTGGGAGTCCCAGAAGGCAAAGAGAAAGAAAAAGGCAGAGAATATTTGAAGAAATGATGGCTGAAAACATTTGAAATTTGATGAAAGACATCAGTATAAACATCCAAGAAGCTCACTGAATTCCAAGTAAAATGAGTTCAAAGAGACCCCAAAGAAGACACATTATAATCAAACTTCTGAAGACAAAGGACAAAGAGGGGGAGGGTACAGCTCAGGGGCAGAGCGCGTGCTTAGCATGCATGAGGTCCTGGTTCAATCCCCAGTACCTCCTCTAAAAATAAACCTAATTACCTTCTCCCCCACCAAAAAAACCCTAAAGAACAAAGACAAAGGCAAAGAGAGAACTTTGAAAAACAGCCAAAGCAGCGACTGTCACATCCAAGGGACCCTTGACAGACTCACTGCACTTCTCCGCAGAGACCTTAAGGGCCAGAGCGCCAGTGTATTAAAGGTGCCCGAAGGAAACCTCCATCAACCAAGAATCTAGTCTGGTAGAACTGCCTTTCAAAGGTGAGGGGGGAGTTAAGACATTCCCAGAAAAACAAAACACCTAGTGTCATCAGGACACACTGACGAAGGCCCCCTGGCTACCACAGGAGGCTACTAAGGCAGCGGGGTGTTACTTTGAGAATTGATCATCGCAGGGGAAGAATCAAGCATGCCGCCTGCCCTTTCTACACAGACGGTACTTCAGGGCAACCGTGCAGTCACAGGGAACGCTTTCCTTACAGCCCCCACTGAGGAAATAATGGATGGAGGGACAGAGCTTGACTGGGTGTTAAAGCCACCGGGTAACGGCTGAGCAGGAGCCAGACCCGGGTACCCAAGTGGGCAGCACTGAGCTCACCCAGGGCCCACCCTCAAAGCAGGTCTCGACCTCTGCTGTGAGGCAACAGGGAGCCTGAGCCCGCCACTCCCACTCCAGGTCTGGGCCCAAGACACACCAGCCTGTGGGAAACAAGGAGGCACCAAGCCTCGCCACGCAGAGCCGGGCCATGGGCAGCCTGGCCCAGAACCCACATGCCTGCACGTTGCCAAGGACCCTGGGGGGCTCGTGGGCAGGTCCTGGGTCCAGCAACGCCTGGGACACTCCCACCTACAACCGGGATACCGGTCACTCTGAGCAAGTAACCTTTCTCCAACGACCCCCTGGGAGGCAAAGGCTGGGTGGGGGGCAGGGGCCCCCCAGCATGAGAGACTCATGAGACATAACCAGCAGGTGCCGAGTTAAGCGAAGAAGCTGTAAGAAGACCGTTTCAGATCGTCAGGGGCACTTGACCATGAACTGGCTGAAACGATCGTAAGGAATTACTACTTTTTGTAGGCGTCATAATGGCATGACGGATACATTGTTTTGTAAAGACCTTACTAGTTAGAGATGCACGTGGAAAACTGAGTGAAAATGACCTCTGGCCTGGAATTTGCTTTAAAATACTCCAGGAAAAGTGCAAGTCTGGTGTGTGTGGCAGTTAAATGAACAGAATTGGGGCTCATCACAGAACTCTCTGGTTTTGTGTACTAAAAGATGTCCACAGGGAAAGGTTCTGTGGAAGCGCATGGAGATGAAGTGAAGACACCTCATCGGGCCAGACCATCAGGATGTCAGTTTGTAACACGGTAGCAGCAACCATTTCTGAAACGTTCCGTGTGCCCGGGTCAAGTGTTTCTGACTCTCTGCACGTGTATCATCTGATCTTTACAACAACCCTATAAACGGGGTCCTAGAGTTATCCTAGCTTTACAGAGGGGGAAACCACGGCAGAGAGCAGTTCGAGAGCTTGTCCAAGGTCACACCGAAGGTCAGCGGCAGAGAAGGTGAGCCCGGAATCAGCCCTGACGTCTCGACTGTAAACACCGCTGTGGCCCTTCTCACCAGGAAAGCATTGGTAGTCGCTGTGGTCTAAGTGTGTCCCTAGCTAAATTTGCAGGCTGGAGTCCTAACGCCCAGTGTGATGGTACTAGGAGGTGGGCCTTTGGGAGGTGATGAGTGAGGTGTGGGGCCAGTGCCCTCACAGAAGTGACCCCACCAGCTCCCTCACCCCTTCAGTCACCTGCCAAGTGAGGACACAGCCTTGCTGCAGCCCTGAAGCAGAACCCAACTGTGCTGGCGTGCTGATCTCAGACCTGCAGCCTCCAGAGCCATGAGAAATAAGTGTCTGCTGATTACAAACGATGCAGTCTATGGCATTTTGTCATAGCAGCCCAGACAGACTGGTGGTCAGGGAGGGAGACAGGGGTGGGGGCACCAGCCAACAGGCAGGGAAAGACTGAACCCCCAGGGAGCCAGGTCCCTGAGGGCAAGGAGGTGGGCTCCTGGGCTGGGTGGCTGAATGCAGGTCACACGCGGAGACCGTGGGCTGGGCGCCACGGCCTGGCCCGGGTGCACCCAGCAGCAGACCAGCCGGTGCAGAAAAGCCGACCGAGGGCGCCCCCTCTGAGTGCCGCTGTGCACTGAGGACGTGGTGCCACAGGCTCCTCCAGCCCTGCCATGTGCTGCGAGGCAGGGACCACCACTTCTTGCCCGCTTGTGGATGCCCGCCCTGGGTCGCCCGTCCCGTCTCCTAGCTGAAGAGCAGCTCCGCGGAACCACCTGGCCACAGGGCGCTAATCTCTTTATCCAGAAGTGACGCCGCGTCTTGGCCTGTTTTCCTGCCTGTTCAAGAGTGTTCGTGATTACTTGTTGAAGCACTTTTTGACAGTACACTCACATTTTAAAAAAACGAGTGTGTGCAGAGCTGGTGACACCCACGTACGGTCGCAGTCTGGCTCATCGTGCCTCCGGGCTCCCCACCGAGCTGGCGGCACCTTGGTCGTGTCAGACGTTACCACTGTGGGGCGCTGGCGGTGGGTACACGGGACCTCTCTATACTAGTTTTGCAACTTTTGGTGAGTCTATAAATATTTCAAAATAAAACATTTAAAAAGGAAACACTGGGTGCCAGAGCTAAAATAAGCTAATACCTCACACCGAGCAACTTTAACTCCTTTCTGTTTTTTACAGAGAAAACAGCCTCCGAGAGGCGCCCAGGGTGAGGACTCCATCAGACGCGGGCTTGCGCCTCCTCCGAGCCCCAGATGCCTTCATCCCAGCCCCACCCCACCCCCCGAAAGGCGCATACCTGCTCTTTCCCCACCCCCATGACCTCCACTTTCTCCTCCCCTACCTCCTGCCCAGCAGTGGAGACAACCAGAAAACGGCCATTTCATTTTGGTCATGACAGCACAGCTCGGGCCACTGCTGGGCACCTGCCAGGTGTGGGGCTTCATGGTGGCCTCTGGCACTGGTCCCCTGGCCTCATGTGGCCCTGCAATCCATGAGAACACTTCCAAGTCCTTCCAAGTAACAGAGCTGGAGGAGCTCTGATGTAGCCCTGCTTGGCCAGGCCCCAGGTTCAGATGTCTCTTTATCTTGTTCCCTGGGGCTGGCTGTGGTCACCTGTCCAAGTGCGGCTGCCACATGTCACTTCTCACAGAAATCAATGTACAAGGTTACCCAAGGAAACCAGACACCAGGAGCAGGGTCACCTGCAACGGATCCACGGCTGACAAAGCACCACCAGGAGTGGCTGCAGCCACAGAGATGCCAGTGTTAACGTTTCTTCTAAGTTTTTGTTTCCTGCTTTCCACGGAAGCCTTTTACTTCCACGTGGGGGAACGAGAGGAAAAGTGCATCATAGAGGACATTCCAGGCGACACGCTGGTGACAGGTAGGTCAGGCGTGTCTGCTGAGCGCGGGGCTCGCGCCACCACCTCACTCAGGCTGCCGACCCTTGATGTGGGTGCTGTTCGGCAGAGAGGGCCACACTGCATGGTTTTCTCTTGAGATAGTTTATCCAATTATGCCAGTCTGACTTGCAAACAGCCTCAAGAGCCAACTGCATAATTCTGACAACGGGAAACCCAAACACCACCACAGGATCCAAGCCTGATCTGTCTTCCCAGCTGTCAGGCTTCCTGAAGTAAAAGACTCTCTCATGCTGTTAATCCTGCTAACTGTGGTTGAATTCTCAGAAGGTATGTGAGGTCTCGAGGTGAGCTTGCAACGGAAGACAGGGCAGCACAAATCAGGGCGTCTTCTGAGCCTCAGCCTCCGGGACCCACAGTGCCCCACGGGGAGGGGTAGGCGCGGGCAAAGTGCCCACGGAGCCTGGTGAGTGGGGTGGGGTCTACACACTCCCGGCTGAGTGCACCCACACAGCTAAACTGCTCCGGCCCGGAGTCTCAGAGCTTCACGGAAAATCCAGTAGGATATTTAACACACAAGTCAGAAACCGTGTCAGCTTCCCCAGTTTCACAGCAAAAAAGACCAAAGAGAAGCAGGCACTACCTCTAGTGGGGCTGACCCTCTGTCAGTGCTGACCGTGCGTATTTACATCAATCCAGCCTCACGCTGGATGGTGTCCAGCTCACCTCTCAGCTCACTTTGTCCATTACACACAAATCACAGCCCATATTGCAAAGACTCAGGCAAACACAGCAGGGCCTCCAAGGAGGGGCGTCTGGGAGGGGTGCTGGGGAGAACCCTCTCTGCCATGTGGCCACCGTGGGAAGAAGCTGGTTTGAGGCCACGGGGTTTAACTGCCCAGATCCCGCCTCAGCTCTCCCTTGGGCAGCTCCTAGCCCCTCCACTGCCTCTGTGAAATGGGATAAAGACTAACAACACGTCTATTCTCTTGGACGGTAACCAATACTGGCAATGCCCCTAGAACCCAGACAGACGCACGGAATGTGCTGTAAGTGTTTCCTTGTGCTCCCCGACCCCAGGGGCCCCCAGACTCCTGGGTAAACGGCTCTGTGGTTGTTTTCCTGGTAACCTGTGAAATTTTCAACCTGCAGTTGAAGGGGAGGAGAGCGACAAGGACGAGGAGGAGGGACAGGAGTGGCTTGCCCACCCTGTCTGCCATTTCATGGCCCACCAGCTGGATGGACTTGGCTCAGGACACAAGCTCAAGAATCACCTCACCCAGTGGAGGGGCTGAGGCAGGAAGGCAGACGCAGCCAGACGGCGTCCAACAGCTCTGTGGGGACACGTCTCAGCCTGGCCTCCCCTTGTCCTGAGAGTCCTTGTCCCCTGTGGACACTGCAGCTCACCCTGGTTCTGCCCTGGCTCCTCCATGACTCCAGCTGCTCCACCCACCCACCGCTTGCCCCCAACTCCGAGGTCTCCTCAGACAGCTCTCCCAAGTAGATCCGCAGGGCAGAGCGCAGCTACTCAAAGCCTGCTGCAGCCACAGGGAGAGCCTGGAGACGCGTCAGGCCGTGTGCTCTAATTTTCCTTTAGAAGAGAATATGGTCCTAGACTCTCAGAATGTATGGGTTGCTAATGGAGAAAAAAATGGAAAAAATACCCAATTTTTTTAAAAAGGCAAGAAAGAAGGGATAAAGGAACAAATAGGACAAATGAAAACCAAACAGCAATATGATAGGCTTAAACCTGACTACATTTTACATTAAATTAAGTGTAAGTGGACAAAACTCCCCAAGGAAAAGGCAAAGACTGTCAGGCTAGACTTAAAAATAAAACAACTATATGCTGTTTTCAAACAAAACCATTTAAATATAAGGAAAGGCTAAAAGTAAAAGAATGGAAAAAGACATACCTGGTAAATATAAACCAAACAAAAGGTGGTGTAAATCAAAGCAGACCTTAACTGAATAAATATTACTAGAGTTAAAGAGACACCAAAATCACTGAGATTGGGTTTAGTAATAGAAAGGTGTTTTTGAGGTGTTTCCTTCTTGGCTGTTACGAACTTCTTTAAAAATAATTTTTAAATTAAAAAAAATTGAAGTATAGTTGATTTACAGTATTGTATTAGTTTCAAGTGTACAGCAAAGTGGTTCAGTCATATAGATCCTTTCAGTCATTTCAGATCCTTTTCCATTATAGGTTATTACAAGATACAAGATACTGAATATGGCTCCCTGTGCTATATAGTAAATCCTTGTTGTTTATCTATTTTATATGTAGTAGCAGGTATCTGTTAATTCCATGTCCCTAATTTATCCCTTCCCCTTTGATGACTGTAAGTTTGTTTCCTATGTCTGTGAGTCTGTTTCTGTTTTGTAAATAACTTCATTTGTATCACTTTTTAGATTCTACATACAAATGATATCATATAATATTTGTCTTTCTGTCTGAATCACTTCACTTAGTATGATAATCCCTAGGTCCATCCATGTTGTAAATGGCAAGATTTAATTCTTTTTATGGCTGAGTAATATTCCATTGCATGGATATACCACAACTTCTTTATCCAGTCATCTGTTGATAGACACTTAGGTTGTTTCCATGTCTTGGCTGTTGTAAATACTGCCACTATGAATACTGGAGTGGATGTATCTTTTTGAATTAGTTTTCTCCAGATACATGCCCAGGAGTGGGATTGCTGGATAATATTGTAAGTCTATTTTTAGGTTTTTAGGAATCTACATACTGCCCTCCATAGTGGCTGGACCAATTTACATTCCCACCCACAGTGCAGAAGGCTCCCTTTTCTCCACACTCTCTCCAGCATTATTGTTTGTAGACTTTTTGATGATGGCTGTTTTATCATTGTAGCTTTGATTTGCATTTCTCTAATAATTAGCTATGTTGAGCATCTTTTCATGTGCCTGTTGGTCATCTGTATGTCTTCTTTGGAGAAATGTCTATTTAGGTCTTCTGTCCATTTCTTCATTGTTTTGATTTGTTTGTTCGTTTTATATCGAGTTGTATGAGCTGTTTGTGTATTTTGGAAATTACGCCCTTGTCAGGCACATCGTTTGCAAATATTTTCTCCCATTCTGTAGGTTGTCTTCTCATTCTGTTTATGGTTTCCTTTGATTTGCAAAAGCTTATGTTTAATTAGGTCCCCTTAGTTTATTTCTGTTTTCCGTTCTTTTGCCTTGGGAGACCGATCTAAGAACACTGCTACGATTTGTGTCAGAGAATGTTTTGCCTGTGTCCTCTTCTAGAAGTTTTATGGTGTCATGTCTTATATTTAAGTCTTCATTTTTAGACCATTGTTAAAATGAAACAAACAAATTAAAAATTTCATGGGGATCTGTGGGGACCTGAGACCATGTCTGACATTCGAGTCCAGGAAGGGCACATGGCAGCCGTGCCACCTGCTCGCAGCTCTGAGCCCCAGCAGAGTCCAGGGAAGCACACCCATCTAGGACATGAGTGACCTCACACCAGTCGTCAGATCCAGCTAACAGTGCGTTTTTGCTCATTGGGACTAAAAACAGCATGTGAGGAGTTTCAGGCGTTGGCCTCCCACTTTCCCCAGGTGGAGGCAGGCAGGAAGCCACAGAAGAGCACTGCCTGACAGCTTGGGGACTCTGAGCTCTGTCCCCGTGTTCTGAGCTGGAGGCAGCTCCTGCCCTGGAGCACCTGGCACAGTCCTGACCTGCCGCATGCTTGTCCATGCTCGTCAGCTCGGCCCTCTGGTGTCTGTCCTAAGCCACCAGAGAAGCAGGTATGGCCCTCACTCTGGCTCAGACAGGAAACATCGCGTGTGAAAGCCCTACAGCAATGGAGGGATACTTCACCAAGGGCTTGCAGGTGCCAACGGCACGCTGAGTTCTGCACTGAGCAGGCCACAAGTGCTCACTCGGGCTCTGTGCCCAAGACAGGTGCACCCTTACGTTCTGGGGGCAAGCACGCTGGGCTGCCTGTCTGCACTCCAGGTCCCCGTGTCCTGCGGGCTAGTCCGTCCACTGGCCGCGAGCACATGGCTCCCCTGCCATCTGGTGGCAGTCATGGGGCATGACACCTCCTCTGGGGGGCGGGTGGGCCTTGCTCAGCGTGGGAGCTTCGCGGCAAACCTCCCCCCAACTCGTGCATCCAGAATCCCTTCTTGAACACTTGCTGTGGGGCCCTCTCCCTCGTCCCCTCTGCCCGCATCGCGCTGTGTTGGGAAGCCGAGGGCCAGGCCCCGGAGGCCCACAGAAGAGGCTCGCGGTGCATCCCCGCACCCGCACTGCACCTTACAGAACCTGCTGGAATAGGAAGGCAGGTGTGGGAGGGTGATGAGCCCCGCGGGGCGGCAGCAGGCAGAGGGCGGTAGGCCGTGGGGGTCGGGGTACTTGCGGGGAAAGGTGGAGAGCTGAGTGTGTCCACGGGGGCAGGGCCAGTGCATACAGGCGTGGGGTGCTGGCGTGGCCCAGCTGTCTCCTAGAGCCGGCCTGGCACCCAGCGGACACCCCCAGGTGCCATGTACCTGGAGAGCCCTCTGACTGCCCGGCTGTGTGCTCCTCTCCAGGAACACCCCGCTGCTTCAGCCAAGGTGCTGGATCAGGCTTAAGGCTTCGCTGCCTCACTGGGTGAATGTGCCATGCGGTCTCAAAAACAAATGTTTTCTGCTGTTCGGGGGGAACATCCTGTAAAAGTCAAGTTGGCCCTGTTGGCTGGTGGCGGTCAGCTCTTACATGTCCAGTAGTCCTGTCCATTGCCTAGGAGTGTGGCCATCCCAGCTACAAGGGTGGATTCATCTGATTTCTCCTTTCAGCAGTTTTACTTCGCATGTTTTGAGACTGCGGATGCATTTATGATGGTTGTCTCCCCTTTATCATTAGGTAACACCCTCTCTGTGTCCTTGGTAATTTTCTTTGCTCTTAAGTCTACTTTGCCTGATACTTACAGAGCCACACAAGATTTCTTCTGATCATCAGAATGATTCATCTTTTTAACCCTTTTACTTTTAACCTAATTATAGCATAATATCCAAAGTGGTTTTCTCAAAGACTGCATGATTGTTGGGTCATTTTTTAAAATTCCGTTCTGACCACCTTTGTCTGGTCTCTGGACTGTTCACATGTAATGGAGTTCTTGGTGTATCAAGATTTAAGTCTGCCGCTTTACGACTTGCTTTCTTCTTGCTCCCTTTGGTTTTTGTTTCTGTTTTCTATTTTGTACCTTCCCGTGGGTCACCTGAACGTTTTATAATACTCCATTTTGTTTTATCTATAGTATTTTTTTACTGCATCTTTGTTTTTATTAGTGGTTGCTCTACGGATTACAATACACAGCAGGTACTTAACTTACCACAGTCTAGAAGGATCAATATTTTACCATTTCAAGAGGAATCAGAAACTTTATGGTCATGCCCTCTGTCCTCCCACCCTTTGTAATACAGTTTCTTAAATACTTCTTCTACATACTTTGAGAACATCATCAGACAATGTTAGATTTTTTGCTTTAGACGGTCAAACAACTTTTAAAAACACTTTTACTGTGGTGTGATTCCTGTACAGTAAACTACACATATTCCAAATGTACACTTTAATGAATTGTGATAGATGTATACACCCATGAAACCACCACCACAATCAAGACAGCTAACATTTCCATCACTCCCCAACAGGTGCAATTTTTGAATTCCCAATTTATCCCTTCCCTCCCCCTTTAACCCCTGGTAACCGTAAGTTTGCTCTCTGTCTGTGAGTCTGTTTCTGTTTTGTTGATAAGTTCATTTGTGCCTTTTAGATTCCACATATAAGCGATATATGGTATTTTTCTTTCCCTTTCTGGCTTACTTAACTTAAAATGATGATCTCCAGGTCCATCCATGTTGCTGCAAAATGGTATTATTTTATTCTTTTTTATGGCTGAGTAGTATTCCATTGTATAAATACACCACACCTTCTTTATCCAGCCATCTGTTGATGGGACATTTGGGTTGTTTCCATGTCTTGGCTATTGTAAATAGTGCTGCTGTGAACACTGGGGTGCATGCAAACAACTTTTTTTAAAAAGCGGAAGAGGACACTCTATTGTGGCTCCCCTCCAGCCATTCTCTCTTCATTCCTGATCTTCCAGTTTCCTTGTCACCATTTTCTTTGTTTGAAGAACTTCCTTTAGCAATTATTTTAAAGCAGGTGTTCTGGTGAAAAACTCTTAGTTTTCCTTGACCTAAGAATGTTTTGCCTTCATTCTGAAGGGTATTTTGGTGGATACAGAATTGTTTGACAATCCTTTTTCCTTCAGCACTTGAAAATGTGCCCCTTCTTTCTGGCCTCTACATTTCTCATGAGAAGTCTGCTGTCACTCAAATTGTTTTTCCCCATCAGTAATGCAGCATTCCTCTCTGGATTTTTAACATAATTGTTTTTGTCTTTGGTTTCGAGAAATTTGATCATGATGTACCTGGTGATGGATTTGGGAGTTGAGCCTGTTTAGGGTTCACTCAGCTTCTTGAATCTGTAGGTTTACCTCTTTCACCAAATTTGGGAAGTTTCTAGCCATCATTTCTTTCAGTGTCTAGTCAGCCCTATGATCTTCCTCCTTTGCTCTGGGACTCGCAAGTTACAGACTTTTGATCACTGTCCTAGAGATTCATGAGGCTCTTCTTTCCATCTGTTTTCTCTCCATTGACCAGACTTGATTATTTCTATCCACCTAGTTTCAGGTTCACTGACTCTTTTCTCTGTCATCTCCATTCTTTTATTGAGTTCATTTGGTTGGTTTTCAACTTCAATTATTGTATGTTTCCTGGTTCTAATGTGTCCATTTTCTTTTAATATCTCTACTCCTTCTTTCTGAGATTTCCCATTTTTCTAGTTATTTTGAGTGTTCAAACTTCTTGTTGATGCATTTTTATGATGACTGCTTTAAAACTCTTAGGTGATTTCAGTGGCTGTCATTTTGGTGTTGGTATCCATTAACTGTCTCTCTTCACTCACGGTTCTTGGTGTGGTGCATAACTTTGGAACGTATCCTGGACATTTTGAGTACTATGTTATATAACTGGCTCCTATTCAAATGTTCTATTTCAGCAGGTAGTCAGCCCACTTAGATTCAGATCCCATGTCCTAATGTCCGTTTTCTGAGACTCTGCACTTCTATCCTGGTCTGCCCTGCGTGTGTGCTGCCTAGAGGCCAGTCTCAAACCTGGGTATTCTCCACACTGTTGGTGGGTTCTCAAAGCTTCTGCCATATTTGTTCTGGTTGGTCACATGCACAGGCTGCTCAGAGGTGTGCCCAGGACTCCCCATGCACAGATTTAAAGAGCGCTTTCTCCAGCTCCCTCCCTAGGTAATCCTGCCCCAACTCCCCCTCTGTATTGTCCTTCGCCAAGTGCAGGATGGGGCTTCACCCCAGTCTTCACGTGGAGCAACCAGTGGGGTGGGTGCAGTCCCTTCATGCTGCTCACGTGGAGCAGGGCAGGTGTCGTCAGAGGGTCCTGCTGCAGGGCCTGCCCGTTCCAGTCCCTTCCCAAGAGAGCAGACTCTTTCTGAGCAGGTTTTCTTTCTCCCCAACAACACAGTGTGTGGTTGCAGATTGCTCCAGCACCCAGGTCAGGTGCACAGGGGTGGGGGAACAAACAGGAGCTCACTGCTGGGTCGCCCTTTGAGTCATCTTCCCTTCCCTGCTTCTCAGTCCTCTGATGGTCGCCTTATACAGTTTGCCCAGAGTTTTCCGTTGTAATTAGCAGGGGAAATAGAGTGAAATGGACTTACTCCATCTTTTCCAGAATCATCAATGTTACCTTTTTAAAGACCCTCTTGAGATGGAGCATTCTAAAAAGTATAGAATATACACTACACATAGTCAACAAACTTCTGGAGGGAACGAGGCCTGAACTGAAGTCACACCGACACACAGGCCAGGCTCAAGACTGCCGCAGCCTTCCCACCCAGGAAATGCCCCCTTTCCAGGGCTGCCTGCACGGTCATGTCCAGGGTGAAGTTCCCAAGTCAGGTCCCCATCTGGGACTTTTCCTCTTGCCTCCCAGGGAGTCAGGGTAGCTCTGGAGTGTAGTTCTGGGCTTCGGAATCAAACCACCTCGGCTCTAATTATGCCTCTACAACTTCTGTCTGTGACTCTCTCCAATGCTCAGGTTCCAACTTGTAAAACAGGGACAATACAGAACCCAACAGTTTTTACATCTCCACAATTAGCACCTGGTCCAAGTCACCACAGTCATCCAGACTATGATAACAGCCTCCCCGCTTCCACTTTTGACCCTTCTTCATTCTTTACTCCACGTGATAAAAATCTTAAATGAAAGAAAGCCACATCATATTCTCCATCCACCCACCTGCCTCCTCAAATCTTTACAATGGGTTTGTAGACCCTCTGTGATCTGGCCCCGCTACCCCTTCAACCTCATCTCCCAGAATCTCTCCATGCTAACGTCACTCCAGCAGCTCTGCTATGCCCTGAACACCACAAGCATTCTCCGCTCCAGGACCTTTACACACACGCCTGAGTGGAGCGATCTTTCCCAGTGGAGGCAGCACTGTGAGGTGGTACAGAGGCAGTCACTGCCTAGGGTTGAATCTTGACTGTGCTACTTGCCAGGTACATGACCTCGGGCAGAGTACCTTATGCTTTGGTTTGTGTGACAATGTGTAAAGTCATCATAAAAACAACACCTACCTACATGGCACTGTTGTTATGAGAATTCAGATTATAGATGTAAATTTCTTAGAATGGTGTTTGGCACATAATCTGCACTTAATGGGATATATAGACAGATAAATACAGATGTAACATATATACATGTGATAAATATAAAATTACATACTTTTTTTCACTCTCCTATTCTTTTAGGTCTTTGCTCAAATGTCAGAAACCGTCCCAGACTCCCCCACGTAACACCCCCAAATCCTCCAGCACTGCCTGTCCCTGTTACTTGCTTTTTCTGACAGTGTATTTAACATCTTCAACATGTATTTACTCATTGTCTGTTTCTCCTTGGGAATAAGGACATCGTCTATTTTGTTCACTCTATCCTCAGCTCCCCCAACACTGCTAGCCCTTGTGAGGTGCTCATTACATACCTGTCAAATGAGGGGGTGTGTAAATGGGTAAGAATATAGTTGACCCTTGAACAACACGGGATTGAATGGCACAGGTGCATCATACATGGATTGTTTCCATCGCACATAGTACCGGACCCATGATCCATGGCCTGTTGAATCTGGGATATGGAACTGCGGACACAATGGGCCAACTGTAAGTCATGCGTGGATTTCAAACTGCCTGGAGGGTTGACACCCTAACCCTACGTTTTGTAAGAGTCACTGCACTTCCTCAGAGCACAGGAAATGAGATGATGCAGGCTAAGTGCTGAGGACAGAACCTGGCATGTGGAACATACTGTTAGCTATTTTTCAGCACTTTTCAATGAATGTTAGGTATTTTTTCATTCCCGTTGTACATTTCAAGGGTACGAGGGGGAAGTTAAGCCACGTGGTGCTTATCACAGCCAAAATGGATAAAGTGGTTGACTCTTCCAGGGACCCAAACCTTAGCAGGAGCCTCTGGACACAGCAAGAGGAAGGATTCACTATAAACGCAGGAGAACTACTGGGGAGACGCTGGAAAAGGTCGCTTGGTCCTGACCCACAGGGAGTTTACGTCTTAGGTGGAAAGCTTTCATTAGCTTATTTTTTTTTTATCATTTTCAACAGTCCTCACAACTCTGACACTTAAGAAGGATACATGTCAGACCCATTTTCCTAAATAGGATGCTGAGGCTTGGAGCAGTGAAGTAATTTGTAAAAAGAGTGAGAACTGGACCAAGAACTCTGTATTCTGGAATCTTCTTACTCTGTGACATGAGCTAATGACCAGGATACAAGCTGTTCAGACAAACAGTATTTTGTGACTTGGGTAATTTTTTAATGCGATTCATTCACCAGTGATCACAGATACCTACTTCTTTTATTTATTTTATAATGTCTCCTATTTTTAAAACAGGGACTTTCAAGACACAGCAGTGGGACACAGATCGGCATGACTTCCTTCAATCCGCCCCTGGTTTGGGGATGTTTGTGACTGTTACAACTTACAATGATGAGGTAAAACATTCTTCTATCTCTTGCTTCTGAAATTTTTCATTTCCTAACAATTCACGTGTCACGTATGCCCACAAACTTTGTAAATCTCTACAAAAGCACTCACCATCCAGCAGCTCGTTTTTCACATGTGCAGCTCTGATTAAAGATTCTGCACCAAGAAACTGCCTGCCTTCCACAAACCTACAGTCTAGCTGAGGAGCAGAGATTCCTTAACATAAAAGTTAAAACCAGCACCCAAGGCAGGCCTCATGCCCACCACCTGAGGCTGGGCAGAGGGGGTGACAGGCCGGTGACCCCCAAGGCTCTGCAGGGCCATGGCCTCCCCGGAACATGAGGTCAGACAGCCCCCGTCCTGCTGGGCTTTCTGCAGGAACGTGGCAGCCTTGGGTCTGTCTGCTCTCAGGACTCCTCACAGAGGCAGCAGAGTAGAAGCGGTACCTGGGCAGAAGGACAGAGTGTGGACCCAGGAGTTGGGGCCACGTGCGAGTGCAGACCATCCTCCATAGCCATGCCATGAGCAGGGAGCTACCACCTTCTTCCTCAGTTTTCTCATCTGCATGATGGTCCTAGCAGACTTGGTTCCCACTGCACCAGCTCAGGGTCCTGTGAGCCGCTCCACCCAGTAACTCACACACAGTTTCAGGGAGTACTTCCCTCTGGACCTGCTGTCCTGAGGACATGCTCGGGGGCAGCAGAGCGGTGGCAGGGCCCCACAGAACAGAACAGCATCTCTCTTGCTGGCAAGGAGAGGGCATTTGATGCAGAAGGGCCCAGGTTCCAAGTCTCAGGACAACTGAGCTCAGCTAGACACTGTGACCCTCCCTCACGTGGGACCGGGAGCTCCGTTCCAACTACACGACCGGACACCTGATTCTTGCCTGTGTGGCAGTCTTCTCTTGGTCCACTTGGCACCTACATGACAGGAGGTCCACTGGGACCATTTCGCTAATTCCAGGCACCCGTTAGGACAGCCACCTCCTCCTCCTGACGTCCCCACCTCCTATGCTTCCTGCTGGGTTCCCCCAACACACAGCTCTCCTCTGTGCCTCCCCGGTCATCTTCCATGACCAAGCTGGAAACACATATTAAGCTGGAACCCAAATTTTACTTGGGCTCCCACTGTTGCAGAAAACCCTGTTCACTGTTTCAAAAAGGCAGAGGTGCTTTATTCTTCAAAAAAACACCGCTACCTAAAACAACACCCCCTTCCAGATGGGAGCAGAAACATTTCCATTCATTCCGAAAACATCCAGCAAACACTGGCCACGAGCCTCGGAGAGAGAGGAAATTCAACCCAAAGACGTGATTTTCAGGAAGTCTCTCTCCATTTGGAAGTAGGATGATAAGACACAGCTCTAGTTTTAACATTTCTTACAAGCTGAGGTCCCCCTGTGAGACCTGGGCAGCAGCCCCACAAGGACTGACTGTTCCTTGTTGAGTCAGTAGGCCTGGGGGCAGAGGGTACTGGCAGTTGCAAACTTGAATTTGTGCGTGAGATTGGCAGCCCAAGGGAATAACCTGGCTTGTAGGGTCGGCAGGGCAGACAATGAAAATATTCACGTACCATTCAAACCATGCATCTGAATTCCACTTTCCATCATTCCGTGTCCAATACTCCTATTCCATCTTGTCGAAGAGAAAACCATGAGAGGCAGAATGACTTCCACAGGATCACATCGTCAGCAAGTGGCAACACAGAGGTTTAAACTCAAGCAAGTCTTTTTCCAACACCCCAAACCAACAGGTATTCCAAACATGTTTGCTGACGTGACTCTCCACTGGAAGTAGACCATGTGGAACCCTGACATGACACTAAGGCTCAGAAACTGAATTTAATAGGTAATGAGGAGTCACTTGAGTATTTTTTCAAGGAAGAGGACTCTGATTCGTAAAAAAATCAGAAATCAACTGCAAAATCTGACTCTTGAACGCAGTTTTATTTAACAAAGTTTCCCTGTCAATGGTCGCTTAAGTGGGATAAAGTAGATGGCAAGACCTGTTAATTTTCCCCAAATCAAAACTGAAAGACCTAAAAAAGGAGAATCTTTGTTGCATTTTTCTATGTGTAATACACACCTGTTTTAAAAATTATTTAACAGACTACCCTTTAGAGCAGTTTTAGATTCACAGACAATTCTGCAGCAACTACAAAGGTCCCGATGCCCTCTGGCCCCAAACAAACACAGCCTCTCCCACTAGCAGCCAGAGAGCAGTGCGGCCATTACAGCTGGTGACCGACACTGACCCGTCACAACCACACGAAGCCCACAGTCTACGTTAGGCTTCATTCCTGGTGGTGTACATTCTCAGATTTGACACATGTGCAATGTCATGTACCCATGTTATAGTATCAACACAGAGTAGCTTCACTCCCAGAAAACTCCTCTGGAACCCATTTATTCACGCCCATGTATCCACTCCTCCCTACCCTCGGCAACCACTGACCCTTTTACTGTCTCCACAGTTCTGCCATTCCCAGAATGTCATATAATTGGAACTATACAGTATGCAGCCTTTTCAGACTGGCTTCTTTCACTTAGGAATACGCACTTAAGTTTCCTCCATGTCTTTTCATGGCTTGATAGTTCATTTCATTTTACTGCTGAATATTATTCCATTGTCAGGATGTATACCATGGTTTATTGATCCATTCACACGCAGAAGGACATCTTGGTTGCCTCCAGATTTTGGCTATTATAAATAAAGCTGCTATGAACATCTATGTGTAGGTTTTCATGTGGACACAAGTTCCCAACTAATTTGGGTAAATAAATGACATGACTGTGGTATATTTATATAATGGAATACTACTCAGCCATAAAAAATAATAAAGTAATGCCATTTGCAGCAACATGGATGTTCCTGGAGATTGTCATTCTAAGTGAAGTAAGCCAGAAAGAGAAAGAAAAAACACCATATGATTATCATTTATATGTACAATCTAAAAAAAAAGACAAACAAACTTATTTATAAAACAGAAACAGACTCATAGACATAGAAAACAAACTTATGGCTACCAGGGGAGAAGCGTGTAGGAAGGGATAAATTGGGAGTTTGATATTGGCAGATATACAATACTATATATAAAATAGGTAAACAATAAGTTTATACTGTACAGCACAGGGAATCATATTTAGTTATCTCACAGTAACTTATGGTGAAAAAGAGCATGAAAACAAATACACGTATGTTCCTATATCACTGAAGTATTGTGCTGTACACCAGAAATTGACACAACATTGTAAACAGACTATATACCTCAATCAAAATATACTGAAAACTAAAAATAAAATACATATATATTTGGAAAAAATGGCACGACTGCAGGACTGTATGGTAAAGGTACACTTCGTTTTGAAAGAAGCCCCAGACTGTCTCCCCAAGGGACTGTACCATTTTGCATTCCCACCAGCAGTAAATGAGGGCTAATGTTCCACATCCTCACCAGCATTTAATGTTGTCAGTGTTCTGGATTTTGGTCATTCTAGTAGATGTATAGTGGTATCTCAGTGTTGTTCTTAATTTGCAATTCCCTAATGACATGTGATGGGGAGCATCCTTCCACGTGCTTATCTGCCATGTTTTCATTGGCGAGGTGTCTGTTCAAATCTGTTACCCATTTTTTAATTGATTTGCTCGTTTTCTCATTGTTGTTTTCAGAATTCTTTGCATCTTTTGGATAACGGTGCTTTATCAGAGATCTCCTTTACAAATAGTTTCTCCCAGTCTGCGGCTTGTCTCTTCACACTCATGACAGAGAGACAGCTTTCTCTTCTGCAGAGTTTTTAATTTTAATGATGTTTAATGTTAAATGTTTAATGAAGTTTAATTATAATGAAGTCCAGCTTCTCAATTCTTTCTTTCATGGCTCACACCTTTGGTGTTGTACCTAAAGTCATCACCAAACCCAAGGTTGTCTAGATTTTCTCCTATGTTGCCTTCTAATATTTTCCTATCTTTGCATTTTACATTTAGATCTATGCTCCGTTTTGAGTTAATTTTCTGTAAAAGGTGTAAGGTCTGTGTCTACTCATTTCTTTAATTCCCAGTTTTCCAGCACAATTTGTTGGAAAAACTGTTTTCTCCATTGTATTGCTTTTGCTCCTCTGTCAAAGATCAGTTGACTATACTTGCGTGGGTCTGTTTCTGGACTGTCTATTCTTTCACTGGTATCACACTATCTTGTTTACTGGTTAAGTCCTGAAATGGGGAGTGTCAGTTCCCTGACTTTACTCTTATCCTTCAATATTGTGTTGGTCATTTTGCATTTTTTGCCTCTCCATGAAAACTTCAGTCAGTTGCTGAGATTTTGACTGGGACTGGTTTCAATCTATAGATCAAGTTGGGAAGAACTGATACTTTCACAACAATAAAAATGTTCTGTTCATAAACATGGAATCTCTCTCCATTTATTTTATCTTCTTCAATTTCTTTCATCACATTTTTTGTTTCCCTCTTACATATCTTATATATATTTTGTTTGATTTATACTGAAGTATTTCATTTTGGGGGATGCTAATGTAAACAGCGCTGTGTCTTTTATTTCCCATTCCACTTGTTCATTAGTAGTACACAGAAACTGATTAACTTCAACACATTAATGCTGTATGCTGCATTTATAGTCATTTATTAGTTTAAGTTTCTGTTGTTAATTATTTTGAATTTTCTAGACAGTCCTGTCATCTGTGAACAAACACAGCTTTATTTCTTCCTTCCCAACCTGCATACTTTTTTCCTTTTCCCTGTTACAGCCTCAGCCAGGACTTCCAGTAGGGCGTTGGGAAGGAAGTGAGGGGGACACCCTGGCCTTGTCTCTGACCTTGGTGATAAAGCCTCTACGTTTTCACTGTCAAGTATGGTAGCTGTGAGGGTTTCATAGATGTTCTCTATCAAATTGACAAAGTTCCCCTATTAAGTTTGCTGAGAGTTTTAACCATGAATGGATGCTGGATTTTGTCAATTGCTTTTTCTGCACCCATTGGTATGCTCACGTGACCTTC